TTCGGATCCCTCGGGACATAGATGCGCAACATGTTGTTGTTGTTCTCAATGTGGACCAAACCATTGTCACAATCTGCTGTGACGGTGAACTCTTTCAGTTGCAGAACCAAAATTCTCTTAAATCCCACTGCTTTCATGGACAACCGCACGTTATTGCTGCTGACGAAGATTGGGGACTTTGTTGTCTTCAATTTCTGGGTTATAGTGGAGAGCACAACTGTTTAGAATTTCGGTTAGCAGGTCCCAAACGTTTTTGAATGTTTGTACCTACTGGTAAAGATGCTTTTTTGCCTTTCTTTGGAAAAATCTGGTTTCTTGACGGGACGGCTCTGGTTCCATCTGTTCTACTACAACCCTCTCCTCCACAATTGTAGATATGTACCGGTCTTCCAAGCCCAGAGCTTCCAAAACTCGATACAATTTTCGATGTTCCTCAAGGGAAATTTTCAGCAAAGGTGCCTTTCCATGAAATGTAGACTGGTACTCGAGCGTGTCTGAGAAAAAGAAAGTATCAACAGGCCTCAATATTTCAATGTTGCCATTCGGCATTTGCACCGGTAAAAGTTGCAAGTCTCTAAGATCTTCAATATCTCTAGCTTTGGGACACATTGAATGGATACTGTATATCTCGGTTTTAAAATCAATCGCTCGGCTGGTGGCGTCTGATGCCAGCATCTTGAGTTGCGCTACATAATTTATTTATTGTAGGAACTTGAATATCCAGTAGACCTTGGAAAAGGGCTTGATACTGTGAATAAGCAGCGCTGATACCATACTTTCCACCAATTATGGGGGTCTCAGCCCACACACAGGATTCTGGTCCCACCCAAAGCTGCCCTGAAGATATATATATTAGTTTATGGGTACGAACGGTATCCCTATGAAATGAATTAGCCGTAACATGCTTCGAGAGCCTGAGCAGTTTCCCTGCATGTCTCCGTTAATTGTCGAAATGGAAGTGCTTTAGATCAGAATACGTTCCGTTTTATAGCATCAACATCAGTGGGGAAGCGAATCGAGAGCTCTTCATACATCCTAAACAACCCTTTATAGTTTGGTCAGCTGTGAGCGAAGAGAATATAAAACGGAAGAATCTTATATCTGGCCGTAGCCCAACTCTAAAAGTGGATAGAAATTCCCACTCATCGCTTGTGTCAGTAACCAGGTCAACTGGAACTTGAAGAAAGTGGGCAAAGTTATCAGTAACCCCTGCCCGAGAGCATAGATCTAGTAGCTGGTTGGAGGGATAATATTGACGACAAAGGGGGGATCGTTCTTGCGTATATCGGCCAGGCACCAGCATACATTCTAACACTCTGATGATGTTACTTGTCATTTCTCGGTTGTAATTAGACCAATATGTCTTCAAAATACCTATGACTGTCGTTGGATGATGGTCCGAAAAGTGTTGGCCGAGAGGGAAAAGTCGGTCTTGGAAAGGATCAAACAGCTTCGGGACACGACGAACGTTTGCCGTAACCTGTAGCCACCTCTCCCAAGTGAGACCATGGGAGCAGGCGCTAGGTGGAAGGGCACCCAAGCACGCATCATGGATGATGTATATCTCAACTGGGAAGCTGTTTTGCTGATTAGATCTGCATCGAAGCTTCTGCGACAGCTTTTTGGTGCTATATTCGCCATCCGTAGCAAAATAGACATCATCCCTTATGATGTGAACACCAAACATTACGAAGCCTCGATACACCCGTCGCTCCATCTGATCCATCACGAAAATACGTTTGTCGAGGATTTTCCCACTACCCACCCAAAAGAGGTATTTCAAGTGATCGATGGAATGCCTCAGCGTCACGCCGACTGGCGGGTCATATCTTCGGAGAATTGAGTTGACAACTTTTTGTGACGAGCAGGACGATACTCCTAAGGCCTCAAAGAGTTTCCATCGCGGTGTGTCCTGAGAGATTTTGACATCCACAGTTTTGAGTGTCAGGTCATCTGGAATGGCACGTCCTTAGTCATCTACAGGAAAATGAATATTACCCGAGGATGCTGACAACAGGACTCCGCAACAACTAGGAATGAGAGCCATACTCTCAACTCGCTCTCTAATCCGAGCACCATACATGCTCAAACCCCGAAGAAGAAGGCCCGCGAGCCTGGCATGCCAGTCATCGTCCAAACTGACATCGAAAAGTCGAGGCGTTGACCCTACCAGGTACGGATCTAAGCGGTCCAGAATATTTTTGAAGGATAGGTTGGTCACCCCGAGCTCAGTCAAAAGCTCAGAATGTCTGGACCAATTGTATCCCTCTGACATGTAGATTTCAGGGGTGATATCATCCAAAAGCGGCTGACCATGACGATCACAATGCCGAGAAGAGGGGTGCTGAAGTGATTTTGGGCAATCAAGAGCACCATTGCGGGTTAGGAGGATCTTTGATTCGCTTAGACTTTCTAATACTATTTCACGAAGTGTAGCCCAGAAAGGATCTGGAATGGATGGCCCTGGCAGATGCTGGAGCCATTCGTATTTCAAGGTTGCATTTTTGCAGAAGTTATAAACAGCCTGTATAAATACAAGGCTGATACGCTCGCGGATTGTATAATTTCGGGGGTAGAGGTGAACACCTTGACGATTTGCTGTGGTGATAAAATCCGATTGTATGAGGAACTGTTGCAGTCAGTAACCGTTAACTGTCCATTAAGAGCTAATGCGAACGAACAACTTACCTTAAACCCTTCCTGACGCATTGGCAGGAAGGAATAGACATGTTGCTGTTCGATTATGGGACGATGGGAATCATCGACAGGGAAAGCGAGTATGACCTCCGCTGTTGTCTGAGCTGATTGATCACCATGCTCCGGAAGATTCTCCAATTCAGCCCCCTCAACGTGATAAATGCGCTTCCTCACCACGTCGCCTGCCTCTTTGACCAATGTAATGCGCCCATTTGGCCCAGTCTGTTCGCGTTTGAATAAGAGCCGGAACCCGGAGGGCTCGATTTTGACTCCGATCTTGCACAACCTTCGCAAAAACAGCAATAACGTGTCCGGAATCTCCTTTAACTCGCCTTCACGGATTTGAAAATCCTCGGGATGTATGAAATATAGGGTAAACCAAGTTTTTACGTTTGGAGGTTACTGTCTGTTCAAGCAAAGCCACCAAGCGTAGCAAATTCTCCTGATACAAAAATTAATAGTGTCAAAAACAGAGAAAATGATCGCCTTTCTCTAATTCTCGGAGAACCCCATTCTAGATGAGGATAGGAATTGAAAAAGGTGGACCAGTGACACTGGTCAAGTTTGCCCAGTATCAGTTCTCCAGAACGCCCTCCACCTAGTGAAACAGATGGAAAGGCCCAGTCTGCAGCCGCAGCACAAAATATGCTAGTATTCCTACTAAAACATCTCAAATGTGGACTGTTGTATTCCGAAGCAAATATCAGATTATTGATTGAACAAATCAATTGGCAATAGTCGTCTTGCTCTAAACCAATATATTATACTCACAGATTTAAGATCTAGAAATCCCATAAAACCATAAGCTTCTCGACTTTGCTGAAATGCTTTTCGGTTGTAGAGTAGATAATGTGGTGGAAGTATGAAT